ATGTTAGAATCTATAGGCTATTTTAGTATATTTTACAGAAAACTGACTGATAGACCACGTATCCGTTATTTTTACTTATTTCTATATACTTGTAGCCGAACTGAATAATGAAATGCATGGTTCATATGAGCCCCAAATCTCTTTTAGCAGTCACGTGTCTTTTTTTGCACTTAACACATTGAGCCTCGCAAGACAAGGGCGGGTGGTAGCCTCTGCTCTCATGCCTACCGCATTCCAAGATCACGACAATTAAAATGCAACACTCCAATGTGTGTAATCGCTTGCAAGAAACCGCATGTATTACATTACGTTCGAGATGGTAACTTGCAAATCATCGTTCGTTTTACATAGCAAGTTCAAGTACTGCCCGGTAACATCGGTGAATGTGGTAGTGTTTATCAAATTATAAAAATACTAGCAAAATACCCGGCGATGTCCGGTCTTTCTTCGTATCCAATCATTGCGAAAGAGGAAAAAGTTCACTTTTATGTCAGGCACGGCGTTTAAGATTATTATTTTTAATGTAAATCGTTCAAGTTTTAGTAAAATGCTACAACTTTCTTTCTTTTTATTTTACAGTGCATTTCTATTAGTTTATTTTCTTAACTTACGCACTGGGAGTGGCCTCTCTAGGTATCACTATTAGGTTCCACTAGTTTTTAGCTAATTCCAAAATACATGTTCTATCGTATCCTCCTCTTCCCCACAAATACATTGTTTCTATAATATGTTTTCAATTACATACCAGTTCTTCCTCACCGCTTCTAGAACATATATTAAGAACCAAGTGTTCTTAGCGAGAGGCGAAATATAATAATCGTGAACCATTTGTCAACATATTATTTTAATTATTTATTTTCCGCATTTGTTTTTTTAATCTTTACAAAACTTTGCAAGGATACTGAGACAATCCTGAAAAATATCCTGTAAAAATGTCGTATCTCTTCATACACTACTTTTTGTGGCATCAACGTCGGTTACATGTCGTTGAATTGTGTTATTAGTAAAGATTTTGATGAGAGAAGGCACAATCTTACAAAAGAAAAATTTGAAACATACATGATTATAAAAAGGCATTAAAACATATTGTTGTTATATTTTCTGTAGTAACCATAGGATTCCACAGAGGGAGTAGTCAGAGGATGTGTTCCCTGAACACTTTCAAAGGAACCCCATGGCTGTAAGTGATTAAACTATTTCCGCAAGTATATTCTATGTCTGATGTTTCCCTTTTTCCTGACAACAAAGGATTTTTTTAAATTTTACTTATTTGAGATTAAGAAACAGTAAAATTATCATTTAAAAATCATATTAAGCAGAATAATTAATTGCAATAATTATCACAGAAATTACAATTAATTTGTCAAACCCGGTAAATTAAGGAATTTGTAAAAGGACATTTGAGAAAGAGGCTCTCCAGGACTGGCAAACCTATCAATAATTAAACATAAAATCATTTGTATTGATTAATAGTAATGGTTAAAGCTATAATGTCATTCTTTTGTTGTATATTTTTTTAAATTTACTAGTAAAATATAGTATGTAAACAAAGAAGTTCAATGGAAAAGGGGGCCCAGAAATGTGATTGGCCTCCTTGTTTTAAGCTGCGTATGCCTGTGCTACTTGCCCTTTCTATCAATGTCACAGACTGACACTGAGGCCGCCACGAATCTCAAATATTCTTCAGAACATGAAGGAATTGGAAAGCGCTATTCTGATCCCCGTTTACGAAAAGCTCGAAGAGGATGGTGTCTGTAGTCAAAAAGCGCAAGTTATGGAACTGCTCTAATGTGGCACAGTATCAGAAATAGTTTTCTTTCTCATGAAACATGTTTTTCCTTATCTCGGTCAGTGCAACTTCCCCACTTTGCATTGCTCTTTGATAACCACGTGCTTCAACTCTAAACACATGACCTGTGTGTGACTCATCTTAATGCGATAAGATTGATTTTGATATTTTTCTTGTGTTTCATGGAACATCCAAAGCAGGACCTGAAATTGGGCGCTCATTATTATATCTTGAGTGCAAATGTACTTAAAAATGCAATCCCAAAATTCAACAGGGCACGGAGTCCCTGGGATCAATTTCAAATTTTCAAAAGAAAAATGACTTCATTGTTTTTGATTAAATTTAATTCTTGAATAGTCTGAAGGTCGTTTGAGGGAATGGTGCAGGTCTCATGTTCGTTAAAAACTCTTATTTTCCGAAAATTGCAAAAATTCAAACTTTTTCGACGTTTTCCTACAACTACAATTTTGAAGATTTCTTTTCCTTAATGAAATGTGTTCATCAAAAACAGTTGCTCAAAAAAGGTCATGTTCAATACTTCGGAAATTTAAATATTTTTAGATTAAACAGAAACATTTTAAAATCATTTTAAACAATTTTCCTAGAATGAGCTTCAAATTTTATCTTTTATTTTTATCCTCGTATGTAGCACAGAACTGTAAAGAGAATGGTGATGGTCCTATTTTAGGCGCACTCTGCATTTTCAGCATTCTCTCTAAGTTCGGAATTGTAAAAATTGTAAATTCGAATTTCGAACGCTTCGTTTCAGGCGTTGCAAGTTCGGAAAATAGCAACACAGAGGTTTCAAAATTCTTCGAATTTATCTCAATGTTGTCGGTCATGACGGTTGTATGATGTAGATAATACTGTAATGAAAGAAAATAGATTGAAGGAAATAAATATATTTTACCTTTGAACAAACAAACACGCTTTTATACTATAAGACGTGTAAATTGCTGATTATGGTATTAAAAAATTGAAAGTTCACTTCAAATGTAATCAATGCTGGCTTGTTTAATCAAATGTAATCAATGCTGGCAATAATTATTGATTTCCTGTATTATGTTCTGTAAATAATGTAAAAAATTTAAATGTATTCATGTTCGTTTTATGTCTAAAAGTAAGAAATGACTACTCTTCCTGATAATGAAAAAAAGAATAAATAAGCACGGGAGGCGATTCGCTTGAATTAGACTTCTTTTAAGTTACAACTTACTTTTTAGTATGTCAGAAATTACAATCTGTTTATATTACGTAATTATTTTCAATCATGCGAGAAAGTATGTACTGTTGTAGCACCTCTAGTTTTTCGAAGGGATTATTGAATATTTGTACGGAATTTTATTTGAAGATGATTGAAGAATGAAGACGACTAATGCTTTGAGTTAAGTCCAGCAAGCACATGTTTCAGAATTATTCAGATAAATTTTTAGAAGATGGGCAACAGAGTACCCCACTTATTTGAGCAAAGAATCAGATAGCTGAGTTAATTTTGTTTTCAGAATATTGCGTGACAGTATCAATCACCGTTTTGAAGCTTCCCGCTAAAAACAAACCATTGCCAGCATGACTCCAGTGAGCCCAAAGAGTTCAGACTTCAGTTTTGATCATCTGGGATACAGTAATGGTCTAACTTCCTTGCAATTCAGTCATCCATCGAATCAAATCCAAGATACGACGAAATGCAAATGAAAGTGCAGTGAACTCTTGTTAATATTGCATTGGATAATTCGATGACAATTTTGTAACCCTTCCAATTACCAGGTTCACAGATAAAACTATGTTAATACACATTTAGATAATAAGAACTCCTTGAGATATGTCTAAGAATTATCGTTGAAATTATCCCCATTTTTCACAAAGTTTCACATTTATTGAGCTTGAGTTGGAATCATGTAACTTTTGGGTCCAGTCAGGATTATGAAAGGCGAGATGAGAAAACCTATTTGCAGTGATACAAGTAGTACAGTGATAATATTTTTACTGTCATGATATTAAAGCACACGGTGGAATATTGAAGAAAAGGTATTAGGAATTTGAGAAATTTTATTTCGGGAAGAGGTGAAAGAGAAACCTAGCATATTTAAGAGTAAAATCAACTCTAATTGTTTGCCTAAATTTCATCACAACGCGATGATCTAAAGGATGACGGGACCTAACCCGCACTGTGTACAGGTTTTGTCCCATGAGTCCCATTTCGTGAGTGTATTGAGAAGTACCTCGCGTTCTGCTGTCCACAAATCCAAGACGCTTGCAAGTCTTTCAAGAGTCGAGTGTAGATCAAAATAAAACCCATAGAGCAAAGGGGTACGGCTGGAAAATACTCTCGTCAAAGATGAGTACAATACGAGTATATGTCTTCTCGAAATGAAATGAAACCAAGGAAACCCATTTACTCTCTACGGATCAATAGAGTTCATCTCAAACTATATATGAAACACAAACATACTTGGGGATTCATAATATGAAGTGTATTAAAACTACCTAGGTTTCGTCTTCAGAATAATTTAAATTTTAGATCAGATGATTGTGTTGGATATCCGTTTGCAATTTGGGTTGTCAGTACCTACCCGCAGTGCTTGATTTATAAAATTTTAGTTCCGGAAAGCGTCCCAAATTAATTATTATTTTAATAGAAATAGTTATAAATTATAATTTAATAAAATAAATCATACCTAACAACAATATATTAGTAAGAGAAGTAGCACTGGCTCTATATAAATATAATAATATGCAATACAAATTGGATTTTTAATGCTATTTTATGGTTTTTTTAGTAATAATTTTATTACATTCATGAATTTGATGCAGTTAGCAAGAAAATTAATTTTGGGTTTATGAAAGTTGATCGAAAAATCGAAGTTGGCAAGTTTTTATCCCCTGCTCTTTTTTTCTATTTTGTTACCGAGGGACCGGAATGTCGTTCCGCTAGAAATCAAGGCTCCACACATTCGTTATTCGGTAGGTAGCGAGCAACTGCTCGCCGAATCACAAGTAGTGTGGATGAGTTACCTGCTATTTGACAAGTGACGACCATTCGGTACTCGCCCTACCAACCGCGTGTCGGTCCATTGGACACAATAAAGGAAGCGAACAGTCGCCGAACACATCAACTATTCAGTAATGGGCGAGCAGTAGCTTTCAGACAAGTTTTCAGGGACGCGAACCGCTTTACCGTGTGAAGGAGCGCGCCCCGCCATGTGGTACTCACTCGGCACCGGCCTCGTGTTTCCGGAGGGCCACCGCAAATCCGAAGTAGCTGCGCGTGTCTTTCCGGGGGTCGTGGAGCACGCGGGCGTGTTCCGGGGCGAAGTTGAAGGCGGCGGCGCGGGCGACGGCAAGGGCGAGGGCGACGGCGGCGACGGCGGCGCCCGCGGCGCGAGGGCTGCCCATGGCGAACAAACACTCGCAGGAGCGACGAAGGCGGGCGACGCCAGCCACCGGAATCGGGAGGCGTCGGCCCCGGACGGAGGAAGTGCGATAGCGCGAGGTCGGACAGTCGACTCGTGTGTGTGTGGCTGTGTGTGTGTGTGTGTGTGAGCGCGCGCGGCGCCGCACCGCACCGGGCATGCAGTAAGGCTAGTACCCCCTCCCTCGCGCCGAGCTAGACCACAACGCAAAACAGATTTATTTTAATATTTTATTTAATGCAGGCGGGCCTAGGACAAACAGGGCCTGTTCTTAGCCCCGCAGCAGACTACACTGAGGAATGTGTTTCCAGAAAAAGTGCGACGAGAAATGTGGAAAATCTAAACAAGGAACACTTCTCGTCCCCCACACACTTGAAAGAGTTTTCCCGTTCGCCTCCGGAGAGGCGAAAGAGTTCCTCGCTCGAGTCGGTCAGCGAGCGAGTTTTCTTGGACACATTTCTACTCCTTCATTTGTTATGTGACATTTACGCACTCGCTGCCGCAGAAAAACACTAAACAGTGCGTAGAAACGAGTGAGGTTATAATATTTACCAGTAAAAGATTTGCAAACCAACCAGTTCTTTGAATTTCTTATTTGATTTTTTTTAAACGGAAATGAACTAGGAAAAACTTAAGTGGAAAATATTATTTCTTGTAAAAAAGCAGTACATAATGAACAATATACAAATATAGATTTGAAGCAAGCAACTTGGAAGAGTATTTTGAAAGAAATGAATAAGTATTTTATTTTTTCTTAATTAGTATTTATTATTTATGAATGAATTTATTAAGTGTGAATTTTATTATGAATTATTTGATCATTCACCATTTATTCATAATTCAACCAACAAATATAGTAAAACAAGAAGAGGTAGCTATATCTTGAGAGAAAAACTCAAGAAAATTTGCATAGAGACGTAGATTGCACTTCTTTCCTTTACGTCACATAGTTACTTTTTTTACATTGAATAATTATTTCTATGCAGAGCAGTAATGTATTTCTCTTTAGGCAATTCGAACTTAAATAGATGGTTTACGATTTTGGTAATAAAATAAGGATTTCACGGATAAACATTACTCGAGAAATGGGACAGCAAATCTCATAGCTAACTGCTGTCACCACTCTCGGCTTGTGGCACATAAAAACATTTCGAGTCATCGAATGACACATTTCTAGTGTGTGGCCCAGCTTTACCGGCCTCTTTCCTCATTTCTCGTCGCACATTTCTCGCAACACATCTCTCGGTGTAGTCTGTTGCTGGTCTTGAACTGTAGGTTTTGTAATTGTAAGAAATATTAATTACTTTCTCTGATACTTTGCGGCAGTTGATACAATATATTTTTTTTTAAATCTTTCAGAGGGACGATTTTTGCCCGCTTCCGTAGCTTATGTAACCGTTTCTAAGTCAATAAAGATACGCAAGCCCTTAGGTTTGATAGTAACACTCTTAATTTGATTACTTTTTGGCCTTTTGTCAGAAAAGGCAATTTTTTCACAACTGGTTATTAACCACGGACTGATGAATTCGAATTTGTTAAAGGATATTTTTATTAAACTACTTGTGTATGATACTCAGTTTTATAAAGGGGGCCAGATAAAACGTTTTGCGACGGGCTCACACTTACTTCACTACACTGTTGTATACACACAGACACACACACACACACACACACATAAATGAGTGGGTGGATGAGCGCGCGCGGCATCGCGTTGCACCCCAGCAGATATGCTGCACGCATACCTCCTCCCCCACGCCGAGCTAGACTACAACGCGAAACACTGATTTATTTTATTTTTATTCATTTATTTAACATCTCAGCTAGCTCAGCTACAACACCGGAGCTTCTGCAACATTATTATCCAAGAGGTTCCAGGGTTTGACTTAGTGGATCCGGCAATGCTTGGCTATTGCAGTGTATTAAACATCACACACTACTGGTCATGTGATTATTAATCACGTTTTACGCTACGATGTACAAAAATTCTAATAGATGAAAGACTTTCTCGCGAGTATGGGTTTGTTCTCTGTCCTGGTTTGGACATGGTTGTCAAATATTCTATTGTTAAAATGTTTTCTCTCAAGTTTGGGCGTGCATTCGCTATGACACTGTCTTGGAGAAATTTGATTTATTTGTCCGAGATAACGTCTAATAATTCCGGCCGATATTTCACAATCGCAGGGGCAGAATATGCAGCGAAGACGCGTTAAATACATGAGGGTGCAGAGGGTTGCGTAAAGATTCTGTTCAGGGGCGTTTGAGTCAGCATACGCACGAAATCATCAACAGGCGTGTATGTGCGACAGGCAAATGATGCTAGTCCCATTTTCGGGTATTGCTCGTCTTTTTTCGAAAAATTCCCCTCAAAAATTCAAAACTACAAAACTGAAGACGGAGATGTTTGCAACCGGCAGTCTCTTGTGCAAAATTAGCTTTTAAAGGTCATGTACATTTTTTTCTAAGCTAGTAAAAAGTTAATTTGCGTAATTTATGTTCGAAATTAATGAAACATATGGGCACCCAGTCGTACATAATTATAACATTGTAATATGGGGAGAAAGTATATGCTCTTGTAACAACACTAGTTAAGATTTTCGACAACCACAATTTAACACGTCCAAATTTATTTCATATTTTTCTTTAATGAAAATTAACACGACGTTTCGGAGACTGTTTCATATCCCTCATCAAATGCTACAATTGAAAATGTATTTACAAAATCAGTTTATGAATGAAGACAAAAATATTTAGAACTATTAGTTAGAAAATATAAATAAAATATTAGAAATATTGGTCAAATGAAGGAAGAACATAAAAATTACAAAAATAAAAGGGACAATCAAATCAGAACTTGTATCTTATTAAACAGATTTACTTTTTCATTTATTAATTCATTTAACTGCTTTGATAGCTCAGCAGTAACATCGGAGATTCTGCAATACTGTTGAGCGGGAGGTTCCAGGGTTCGAACCTGAACCAGGTACTACAACACTAGATCGGATTCAGACACTGTCTGGAGAAGAATTCTAACAGCCTTGTGCTTTGGTCGGTAGTTTTCCCTTGTTTCTCCGATCAATACCAGTGAATGTAGGAGCAGTACCTCCTGAAACGGGACACAGACCGCGCGTTCTTGCCTTCCTCGTCAACCCTTACTCACACACAAGCACTTCACTACCGTACATGTCGGGAGATCAGTCGAGAGTTTAGAGCTTGTCCCGGCAAGACCTGTGCCCTGCTAGGGGAGATGACGCGGGGCAAAAACTGTGTCGGTTGGCGACGGATACCATAGTCCATTGAGAGATGACCACCTTGTTACACCATGTACTCCACTTACGGGGCTCATGGCATAAGTGGTCGCGTCCGGAATCAATATTCATTCTTTTTGCAGTCAAAAATCAGTTAAAAACTGTGATGTATGGGGAAAGTACAATTTGTGCACGTTTTGTAGAGCCCTGGTATCCATATTCTCATTCTTTGCCTTTTACTAGCATTTTAAATATCATTAAGAATAATGAAGGCTGCGAGAAGAGCGTTTTGGCAACATTTGAATGGGTGAAAACCAGAACGGTAAAAGTGACATTTTATAAATTCTGAGAAAAATGTGTTTATTTTAATGCCAATGTATTTTCGTGGTTTTAATGAAAAATTGAAATGCCATGGTTTTTAATGATGAAACTAAGCACCATGACATGAAGTGATGTTGACTTAAATGTACAGATTTGTCAGAATTTATAAAATGTGTATCAGACTGTACTGGTTTTCACATATTCATTTCTTAACAAGAAATGTATGCTTTCATCTAATAGAAACCACATTCATAGGTAAATAAGTTACAGGTTTTGCTTCTATCTCTTGTACCCCACGTGACAACCCAATTCACATTTTGAGTGCGTAGTTTCATTGTTAATGACTTACTAAGTATTTTGTATAAAGGATAGCTATTTAGAGTGCACTATATATTGAAACAAAAAGATGCATTACCTATCTGAGTTTCAAACATAGTTACTTATGTATCAAAGTCAAAAAGCTTTTTTTTTTTTTGGTAAGAGCTCTTTATCTCTATTTATAGTTTAGTAGGGATCCAACATGGCGATGGTTTTATAAAGTCAAAACATTGATCACAGATTTTTTGAAGATGGTTTTACATTGTTAATATGTTGTTTTTTTATTGAAAAATTTCATCATTAAAATTTAACAGACAAAAGTGACCAGGAAAAATAAATAAAATTATTTTTGTGGATAAATGATGCATACGTTTTTAAAATCCAATCTAATAATTATCCTGATCACTTTTTATCAGTTAAATTTCAATTACAAATTATTAAATGCGAAGGTCAAATTAAACCCCACCTGTACACAAATTAATAATTACTAATGCTGTTTTAAAAACATTGACTGTTTTGTTTCATATTTTAATTTAATAATGTTTTGTGGATGATACTGCATCCCGAAAGCGGAACAAAGTCTCAAAATCATAACCTTTTGGCCAAAAAGCAAACTTTTTTTTGTACACTTACCTGTATTATATGAACTATATTTGTATTATATTTGCCCTGAAATACCTACCCTGTCCTTCAGTAGCATTAGATTAATGAAGGATAAATTACAGCAATGAGCATTGTTCACAAAATCTGCTAATCTTCCGTGCAATAGAAACTATTTTGCATCGAAAATGAAGCTTCAGATTTGATGAAATAGTCCTGACAACAAAAAATTTACCCCACTTCACTTGCATCTTGCAAAATGAGGGCTTAAGAAAATGTTTGGGGATAATATTGGGTGTAATATATTTGTTAGTAGTAGTTACTAGTTTAAGTGTCAGTATATTTTATTCAATGTGCACTAAAGTTCCACCACAGTACATGTTTCTTTGAGACTCGTTTACTAAAAGAGCATTTTCAGATTTTACCAAAAAATTAAACCACTGAAATGTATGTTTCAGTTGAGAAATGAACAAGGAGGCAAATGTATACCATTTCCATTTGAACTGATTTTTCAAATAATTACATTTGTGCTATTGTAATTTGTGATCTAATAAATTTGTAAGCACAAAGCCTTAATCTCTCTTCCAGTTTGTTTAAAATGTTAATGTTTCATTATGTTTGTTTAAACCAAAAAAGCACTTTTGAAAACTGCTCAAAAAATACTGAATTTTTTGCTTGGCCTTTTTCTTAGATTAAAACATTTTACTTTGTGATATGTAAAGTAGGGATATCTATTTGTAACAAAAGTCTTTTTAATGACAGATTCTTTTAATAAAATTAAAGTTTTCTTCTAACAGTAATAAAGAATAGTGCACCCAATAACAAAAATTTGGCCAAAGATAAAATTAGTTTTCACATATACACCTGGAAAATACATATTCTATATAAAATTTCTTTTGGTCTGTGGAAACTGTGATACCACTTGGAATTTCATGAAAATAAATGTACAGCTCGTTCAGAGAGCAACATCGGGCCCTTATTGTCGCTTCACCAGCTTTTGGGATTTCCGGAATTGTCCATGATATTATAGAAGTATAGTTGTTTTTTTCAAATTTCAATTTCACAAGGCTCCTATTTTGAATGAACACATTTGTTATTGGTGGGTAAAAGCACTTCAGGCAGCATCCACTTGGTGTAGTAATTATTATACAAGTTTTAATTTTTCTTTTGTTTATTTGGCTGATAATTAACTATAAATTATCTAATTACAAAATTGATGAAAGTTTATTACAGATGAATGAATCAAATGAAATCATCATGGAATGCAAATGATTTATACGGTTTTACATAAGTGGAAAGAGTAGCTTTCTGTAAAATGTAAATAAAAGTTGATGTTTTACCATCAACCACTGGTGTGCTTGTCAAAAATAAACTCAATGTCGTTAAAAACATTAACATCATTAATAAAATAAATTAAGTAATTGTTTTCATTATTATATATACATGATATAAAAAATCGAGTAATTAATATTCTAATGCAAGTCACAAAGAAAAGGGTGTAAAAAAATATTAGGGGTGTAAAAAATTTCTCTAAGAGGGAATGAATGTGACTAGAGGAAGCTACCAATTGAAGAAATATTTACACAAGAGCTTTATAAAGGTTGGTTTCGAGACTTCCCAGTCTTCCGGAAGAAGCCTAGTCCTCTTGTACGAGGTGTGATGGGAGAATTCTAAAAAAAGAAAAAAAAAATCTATTTCAGTTTATGAAATACTTACAAAAATACACTTTTCTAACACTATAAAATTGTAATATTAATATTTGGTTATGATATGTTTCTTATAAGGTAAGAAATACTTCATACATCATACTGTGGCCATTAATTTCCTGGAATTTCCCTGACTTTTCCCACTTTTTTAAAATTTCCCCCTGATAAAATTTATTACTTCACACTAATTAAAGAAAATATTAAAGCTAACCAGATACTAATTGGTCAGCTCTCTTATTTTGCAGTGAGAATGTACAAATTAACAAAATTTCCTAAAGAAATAAAAACAGAGAGAGAGAGAGAGAGAGAGATATAGACATAGATATGTAACTTCACCTCATCACGACGAGTTCCTTTCCCAGCAAACAGCATTCTGAGTCGTCCTGGAGTTGTGCCTTTTCGACTTACTGAATTATCATTTTGTTCTCTAAGAACAGAATGTGGGGTTGCACCTTGTTCGAGCCCCTGAAACATTAAATATTTTTCATTTACAATTCACCTGTGTGAATTTTTCATCTCCTCATTTATTTTCCTTTTATGGAACAATTCCTTACATTATTAACTGAATGAATTATTACAAGCACACAAGGAATTACACAGCTTTCTAAGGTAGCAGAACGTTGACCGCCCCAATTTTTTTAAGAAGTATTAAAAAATGAAATAACATTGAATTTTCCAGAGTCAAGTAAAAGACATATGAATTTACTTTTTTTTTTTTAATTATCATCATCATTACACTACAATTAAATGAAAATTTTATTCAATTATAAAATTGAAAGAAATGTTTCATGACACATTGAAATGTAGCCTGATGCCATTGTGCTACACCATGAGACATGGTAAATAACAATAAACAATTGCTAAATGTAAATTAGTTTATTCAAAGTTAATTTGCACTTATAGTATTATTTGCATGCATTTCAAATTATAGAGAATAAAAAATTATTTGTAAGCAGTGATAAAAGAAGAAAGATTAAATGAAATGTCTATTATAGCAATTAAATCAGGTACATGTCGTCATTAAATTAAGATAACTCGACAGCAACAGTAGAATGGCATTTGTAAATTGCTGATATTAAAAAATGAGATCATATATATACAGAAAATATTCCATTGAAGGACTTGGAGCAGAAGAAAGAAAAAAAATGACTTAATTTATAATTAAATAAAAGATTTGAATATATGTAAATTTTAATGTTGGTTAAGGAAGTATTTTTAGGATAAACAATAAACATTTTTTTCCTTTCAAGTATCCTAAGCAAATCAAGAGGTGTACTGCAATTCCTGATTTAAAATGTACTATTTCTTGCCGCTGTGCATAAGTGACATTTTATTTTAAATATAAGATAAACCTATCATAATAATGAGCAAAATTAGGGAAGATATATAGATATAGGGAAGTATATCTCCTCTCTGACTTTATCAAAGGATGTGCATCCAAGAAGTATCACATAGGAAGGCAGACCAAACACACACTAAGTGTAAGCAGACCCAAAAGCAGTATGGCAATGGCCTCCCAACAAGTCACTCTGATTATTAATTGTAACCATCATTTGATTTATTAAACATTGTCACTTCCATGTGCTTTGAAACTACATATGAAGCAGTTCCTATTGTGTTAACCCAAATAATTATAGTTGTTACAAAGAGTCACAACAGTGTAATATATTTTTTCCTCGTAAATTTAAGAGAAAAGCAACCATTCCACTGAGGAATTTAGAATAAGCGTATCAGGATAAATAAAAATTATTCAAAAGAAAAATTAAATATAACACTGCATCCCTTTCTACCAGAACTTGACATTTGCTATGCTCCGCAAAATTCAATAATTATCAGTTTTCATTATTTCAATGATCCAGACTTAATGTTCATAAATTTTGTGTGTATTTCTGTGAAGTTAGATTGTTTTGGTGCGGTCCTAATGAATTCATAAGACTGATGTGACTTTAGTTCCTTCATGAAGGGCAAACTTACTCTGAACATTTCTCTTTATGCATTGTAATACTGAGTACTTCCATTAAATTCATGAATCCTTCCATGTATTTGGTATTAATTGTGGAAAAGTTATGTTATAGAAATATCTTATAAACTTTCTGAAAACTCGCACAGGTTATGAAATATCAAGATTTTTCCTAAAAACCCGAAGTTGGAAATATTTTAGGTTTACTTTGACCAAATGCTTCTATTCACCTTCCATCAAAAAATTTAACACATTAAATAATTACATACTATATGTATTGTATTACACTTCTTGAAGTTTTGTTTACATGTATCGTTGTGTAGTAATTATACAAAGCAAACAAACTACCACCTATCTAATCCACCTCATAGATGTTATGAAGATACGGAAATGGTGCACTTCACAAATGTGAATCCTCCATCCCATGACTTGCCCTCAAGGCAAAATAAAATTCTTTGTTTCCTAATACAAGTATCATCAAACTTGGAATACCATTGCTCATTTCTTGAATTCACGACTGAATTGTGGATATACAGCTATGAAACATTCACAATATTGGTCAACTCCCACCCAGTTTCCCTCTTTAACCTCTCCCTGAATTGCTTCAAATAGTGTGAAGAATGCATAAAACCTTTTTCTAAAACTGGATTTTTTTTTTTCCCTTTTTTTTTTTTTTCAATTTTCAATATATAAGCTTGTACTATGCGTAGAGGGAGAATTAATTATTGGAGTGTCTTTACAGCTAACTGCTCCTCATAAGCCAAAAACCATTTTGTGCGTTGTCAAAAAGTGACACCTTAAATTAATTTTCCAAACTCTGGATAAAAATAAAAAACATAATCCCTTTTTACTTTCTCACCACACACTGCAATCATGAGCTACAAACCAGAGATTTTCGAGAGGAAAAACTTAAGTCTGACCTTAGTAATGAAAATGTGGATAAGCCTCACCCTACGACTTAAAACTTTTGGTAACAAACCTGCAAAGATAAGCGTCCTCCATTCTTGCCTGGCGTTGGAGGACCAGGTTTTTTGTAAGACGTCTGGAAAGAAACATCAACATTAATCTTTCAAGTTTAAGTGTCTCCATTTATGTGTTTTGAGGGAGGGGGTCAGACAGTATGACAAGAACTTATAAAATACATTACATGGTAAAGAAATTGGGCTGATGTTTTCATCTGTCAAACAACTTTCCCTAACACTACTCAAGGAAATTTTCTCACATTCTCATTCCTTCATTGCAATTTTACACATTGGAAAAGAAAGTAAAATATAATATTGAACACATTTCTTTTAAATCCTATAATACATATGTAATGAATTTATTACAAAGTCAACATCCGGTCTTAAAATATACACAATGATGCTGTCAGAATACAGACAAAATAAATTCTCCATAATTACAACCAACCAGTTTTTTGTACATAAATTGCATCATTTGATCATGACAATACATGTTTAAATACAATTATAAATTTAGAAAAATTTACATTAAGTCCCACCCTATAATGTTTTTCAATTTAAAAAAAATGTTTCACCTCAAATTAATTCGATAAATACCAAGACATTTATAATGACAATACTACATAAAATAGTGGAAACATTAAAAATATTACTTCTCAATGCTAAATTTATTTCTCACATGAAGTAATATTTAAATTGTTTCTCAAGAAAACAAAATTATTTATGCTAGATACAGTTCATAATTTACATAAAACATTTTATTGAATCTGAGGTAATAACTACTTCTGGCAAAGTTATCTTCACATGATGTACAAAAGAACATGACTAATGACAAAGCTCATCATGAAGTTCTGCAAGGAAAAACAAATTCTACAATGAGTGGGAAGAGTAAAACATTTTACACAAAGTACAACAAATTTTTTACAATGTATGAACAATGATTTCATGAATGTATATTTCATATAAATAAAAAGCATTTACAAGTATAATACAACTAATACTATATTTCTGCTCACTCACTTGGACAATGAACAGCAGTTGATACAACTTCATAGTATTTTCTTCTCCAGAGAGCATGTCTTCAATTCAATTTCATTTTACATTTATTTAATCAATAATATTTTATAAATATATAATATAAAAAATGTCCATTCAGAACACAAAGAGGCATGAATTTCTTTATTACATCATTTACAATCGTTGTAGAATATACATGGTACATTACAAACCTCTTTTGCAAGCCAAAATGGGAATATTATAATATAAAAATGGAAAAAAGTAGTAAAAATATTAAAGAAATTAAAACATGATAAAATGTTATCACAGCAAATGCCATTACTGAATTAGTTTTTCGCCAAAATGGTGTGTTCAGGAAAAGTTCACAGAAGAGTAGGCCAACACAATTAAATGGCCCCTCAAAGACTACTCGACTGCATCCAGAAAATACAATTGTCTTCATACTCCAACTCTATGAATATATTACAAATGAAAATACAACAGGACATTAAGACAAAGACGACTAGTATTTTAAACATTAAATATGTAAAACATAAGCATAAGTTTAATGATTTACACAAGTTAAATAATTGAATCATTCCAACTTGTCGTAATTCAGTTGAACTGATCTCAAGCGTTAACAAGCTGAGAACAGCCCAACAATAAAATAATTTACAATATCTGTCTTCCCAAGATGTATAAAATGTACAACAGAGAAAAAAATTATTAAACAAGATAAAGCAGCTGCAGCAGCAAAAACAATCACAATGATAACCAGAACAAAAACATCAGCAGTAGCATACCAAAAAGCATTAAAATCTTCAATTTCTTCCATCATCAGATCCTGTTTCTTTGGTTGTAATTAAAACTTATTTTTAGATGAGCTTTTATCACCCATCAGAAATGCGTGTGAAGGTAGTACTTAATTCAAACGTACCTGTCCTCTGTCTTTATTCTTCTTTCTGTCAGGTAACAACAAGCTTGTACTCAAAGTGTCAAAATTATCCAGATCACCTCCAGTTCCAAACTGCACAGAACAATTGTATTTACTGAATTTTAAAAAAAATTTCTAGAAATGGAAAATGAAAGAATATACCAAGCACGCACCCGTAATCACACTCACTCACTCACACACACACACACACACACACACACACACACACACACAGAATAGCTTACTAAAATGCCTTCTTAAACCGATTTATTTCTATATCTACAGAAAAAACTATGCCAAATTTTCTTAATTTGAAAAGCAAAGGGAATTTTAAGAACATTTCCTAGCTACTGAACATAGTTCAACAATAAGCAAGTTCAAGAATTAATTAATGAATACATGTTCAATTTCAAAATCAAAAATTCAACAGAACATTTTTGAGAAATTTTTTTACACTATTTCATGTCAGAAGAGTGTAACCACCCAACATTACATGCATTACAAAATGCTTTGAAAAATGAGAAATACTTCAGTTCCTTTTTCAGAACCTCAAATTATTAATTGAAAATATAGAAATTAGTAGATTCAAAAAGCTTGTAATATCCACCATAAAATATTAAAATAATAAGCACACTTGAATGAAAGCATGTAAGGGAAAAGTCTCAGAAGACTAGCAATTCATTTCTGCTCCCATACTCCTCGATCCCTCATCCAAAGCATTGGTTCCCAAAGCAAGCTGGGCCCCTGATAAGTATAAAGCGCAATGCCATGCTGTACTGCAGTAACTGATAGGCAAATCTAGTTTTAATATGAAATTGGGAGGCATTACTTGAAAATACTGGGAAAGCAACAGTAACAAAAATTTGTGAAGGCCATTTAGGTTTCTTTCATATGCTTGGAAAAATACTATTTAAATAATATAATTAATTTTGTTCAAAGTTATTGCTTTTTAATCACGGTGGCTACTCATTTTCTGGAACAAATTTCCCTCATTTTCCCTATTTTCAAATATTAAACCTGATACAAATTTATCAACCTCTGATTTTTCCCACATGAAGTAATTCCCCCCACCCCCACTTTCTCTGAACCTGAGTCGCTATTTAAACATTGTCCCTTTCTAACTGCTCAGGAGACTGTCATGGAGGCATTTGAAATTTTACTTACTCTAAAAGTGAAGGGTATGCCAAATACATTTTTAAACATAAGCCCACAAATGATAAAATATCAAGGCATCAATTACAAATATAATTTCTCTAATTTTATTAACTAAAAAGGAGGTCCTCTCTTTTCAGAGATTAGGATAAAATAGTCTAATTATTAATTAACATTAGAATACCATGCCCAGAAGTAGAACACTTGAAAAGTATTTAAAGAATTTCTGACTTGTTTAATATTTAATTTCAATTTTAAAAAAATCCCCTTTCTAATATCTTACCTTAACATCATCCTCTGTGGCTTCAAGTAGTTCTTTGCAGTCTGTCACAGGATATGATGATTTTAGGTGAGGAAGAACCATGGAATTCCTATGCTGATATTCAGTCAATCGCCCTTTTTCGCCTTGTTCAACTAAACACCTGCCAGCTTTCATGTCTGCCAAATATTTTGCATTAAATTCTTCCCCTTCTTCATCTTGCGGCGGAAATGCCTGACCTGAAAATTATTCCTTTTAGAAAGCAATCAAACAATCGTTGAGAAACATTTGCAAAATAAGCATACCTATTCCTGGAGGTATTGATTTTCTACAGCTCCTGGTCCTCCTCCTGACATACGTTACTGATTCATCAATAACATCCATAACATCAATCTGAGATCGATCAGATGACCTATTAAATAAACAGATGCCTTACAAAGATGTATAAGCACTCAAAAGTTGGACAGAAAATTGCCAAAAATTAGCTCATCCTAGCTGGAACTTTCACCCTGAATCAACAGTTTTAAAATAAAATTTCAATCCATGAAATGCATTCTGGCTGTACTTATCTCATGCACACATCAATGTAGAAAGTTGAATAAATTTAGTCAAAGTACCAGAGAGAATGAAGTGCAAAAGAAAATAATTTATAATGGACACAAAGTTAAGTAAGTAAAAAATAACAAAAATTATATTTTCTTCAGAAAGTAAAGATACTCACTGTTTATATTGAGAGAGCCGCCTATCGACAGGATGCTGCTCCTAGGACACAAATAGTCACTTATAACACGCTCCTTTAATTCACTTTTGTAAAAATATTTTGTGTATCTATCATCCTTACCAAAGCAAATTTACTGACTTCTCCAAGTGCACTATGTTTTGCTTGGTTATTGAGGAGTGATGACAATCTTGTCTGCAATTTGGCCTTTTCATCATTGGCTCTCAAAAGTTTTTCACTCAGATCCCATACTTGAGTCCTCAAGTCAACATTGTCACCATGGTGTTGCATAAACTGTAGAAGTTAGTTAAATTGCTGTTTTGCTCTTTCTACCAATAATTAAAAGTGCATATACTTAAAAAGATCAAATTAATAACAAAAACTTACCTTTTCTTTGTACATTTGTAAAGTTTTTTCCAATTCATTTGTAGCAGAGTTGTTTTGCACCAGAATCTTTTCTTTTTCTTTGTTGTAAGCTGCTTGCTGTAAATTATCCAATTCACAACTTAATGTTAAGAAAATGAATCAAAACTCGTGCAACATGCTTAACAAGAATACTTACCATTTGTTCTTTCAATCTTGCCAATTTTTCTTCATAAATGCTCTTCATATTCCCACATTCTTTAGCCTTCTCAAAGAATTTCAGTTTCAAGTCTGTGTACTTGGCTTTCAGAACTTCAGCAGCCTTGAGATGCTCTTCGGATTCTTTTTTAATAGAATCATTTTCTTCAGTCTGCATCTTCATAAGATCATCAATTGCTTTCTGCTTTTGATTTAAATCTTCATCCAGAGATTGTATTTTGTTATTCAGTTCCTTTACTGACTCCTCAGTTTCAATTAACTTGGTTTCTAGAATCGCTTTTTCATTCCTCAAAATTTCGTTTTCACAAATCACACGTTCTGAAGTTAATTTTGTTTCACTGAGATTATTAACCATTATTCTCTTTTCTGTCAACTCTTCATCAAGAACAGCAACTTTTTTAAGGAGAGCAATAATTTCATCTTTTCTGTTGTGCAAATCCTTTTTCAACAAATCAATATTCTCTGCTTGTTTTTCTATTTCCCTCTCTTTCTCACATAATCTCTCTTCTTTTTCAGCTATATTCTTTTTCAGATCTTCATTCTCAAGAGTAAGTGTGCTTTGAAGTAATTTCTGTTCTTCAAGAAGATTCAAAATGGTATCTTGTTTTTCTATACTGTCTTGATGCATTGACTCATTTTTTTTTGACAGTTTAGCTATGTCTTCAACTTTTTCCATAAGCATAGTCTCTTTCATTGCAATCTCTTTTTCAAGTGTTAACTCTTTCTCCAATTTCTGACAAAGAAGACTTTCTTTATCTGCAATTAGCTTCTGAAGAGATTCCAATTCGGCATTATAAGATTTATTGGCAGAATTCAATTTTTCCTGCAAGGAATTAATGTTTCTCTGCATCTCAGAATTATCATCCCGAATCCTTTGAACAGTATCAGTGAGTCCGGAAACTACTGCCACTTTTGATGAAAGTTCTTCATCTTTCAAAATTATTTCTCCTTTAAGGAATGTCACTTTACTCTCAGTATCAACAAGTTGTGCTTCTTTTTCCTCAATTTCTTTTCTGAAAGATTCACGTTCTAAATTAATTGATTTCTGCAGAGTTTCCAATTCGTTTTGCAAAGACAATATCTTAGATTGATTAAGAAGATTATCTTTCTGAAATGTATTGATTGTCTCAGATAATTTGTTAATTTCTTCTATTTTCTCAGCAAGATTCTGGCTCTTGGCTCCAATTTCACCCCTTAATTCAAGAATTTCTTTTTTATCCTCGCAGATTATTGTTTCCTTTTTAGCTAACATATCATCTTTCTCCACAAGTAATGCTTTCTTGGTCTCTATTTCTTTCTCTAAAATCAATACTCTTTCCTTCAATTCAATGAGCTTTTCTTCTCTAGCTGTGACTTCATCCTTCAAAGATGAACATTCTAAATCGAACGAAGTCTTGCACATAGATAGTTCAGTATCCCTCTCTTTCACAGATTTCTCTAGTAACTCACATTCACCTCTAACAGCAACCAGTTCTGCATGTTGAGTGTTGATAGTTTTTTGTTTCTCAATATTTTCAACCTCCTGACATTTTATTGACTCTTGTAGTTTACGAGCCTCTTCTTCCATCTCCACAAGCAAGGCTTTACTGCTTTCCAATTCTTTTTCAAGATTACATTTACACTCTTCTATTGTTTGGAGCATGGTGTCTTTAGAAACATTTTCATTGGTAAGACAATCACACTTCTCTTGAAGAGTACTCACTTCATCCTGGAGTAACTCAATCTTTTTTTGTTTCTCTCCATTATCCATCTTCATTTCATGTAACAAATCTGAAGCATTGGACAATTCATTTTCTGTTCTACACAATTTCTCCTCCTTAGATTTAATGTACTCTTGAAGTTTTGAAATTTCCTTTTCTGTTTCAGAAATAATTACTTCCTTTTCTTCAATTTCTTGTTTTAATGACTGGCTCAATTGGTCATGGTTCTGTGTAATGGCAGAGAGTTCTTCCTGCAAGCTGAGAATTTCGTTCCTTTTTGCAGAGATCTCTTGATGCATTAAATTCACATTTGAAGAAAGGGATTTTATTTCTTTAGCTTGGTCATCAATTTGTAGATTTCTGTCTGCAATTTCTTTTAGAAGTGCAGTATTATTTTCCTTTTCCATTCTAATTTTTTCTTTTTCTGCTTCCAATTCTTCTCTGAGAGACAGAGATTGTACATTAAAAGCATTTTGCACACTATCTAATTGTTCTTGCAGACTTGCAATGACATTTTGTTTTTCAGAATCTGCTGCAGTTATCAATTGAACTGTGGCAGTAAGGGAAGAAATTTCCTGGGTCTTCTCACCAAGGACTTGAACATAATCTTCAACCTGCTTTTCAAGCGATGACGCATGTTCAAGTTGTTCGTGAAGCAACTTTTTCGTTTTATCAAGAATATTTGATTTTTCTTCAATTCCATTCTTCAGATCCTTAATAATTTCTTCTTTGAGAATGATATCCGATTCATTCTTGTGAAGGATATTCACTAAATTTTCTTTAGTGTCGGCAAATTCTTTCTGTACATTCGACAATTCTCCTCGTAAATCACTAATTATTGTCTCTTGTTCTTTGTGATCCATTCTCATTAAGTCAATGTTGTTATTTAGATTTTTTATTTCTTTTAGCTTGTCATCAATGTACTTATTATTTTTTTGTATCTCCTCTTCGAGTAATGCAATATGTGTGTTCTTTTCAGAAATTTCCTCCTGCAAGTTGTTCATATTCTCCTGTATTTTTGAATTATCTTCACACATCTTTCGAACTGTATCTGTAAGCTTTAAAACTTCCATTACCTTTGTGGAAAGCTCATCATCCAACAAACTTATTTTCTTATCCAGCAAACATACGTTACTCTCAGTATCTTGAAGTTTGGAATTCTTCTCTTTGATTTCTTTCTTAAAAGTCTCTTGTGCCATATGCATGGAGTTTTGAAGAAATTCTAATTCCTTTTGCAAAGACTCAATTGTAGTTTGTTTTTCATGTATGACTGTTTCAAAATAATGTACAGATTTGGAGAGTTTAGTAATTTCTTCTGCTTGCTCTTCCAACTTGAAGTCTTTTGTGGCAATTTCTCCCTTCAACCCACGAATTTCATTCTCTATTTCGCCAATCACCATGTCCTTCCCAGCTATCTCACTGCCTTTCTCAACAAGTTGGGCATCTTTTTGTTGTACTTCCTTTTCCAAAACCAATATACTTTCCTTTATATCGCAAAGCAGTTTTTCCCTAGTATTTATTTCATCCTTGAGAGAACAGCACTCGGCATCAAATAAATTCTTACAAGAGATCAACTCAGAGTGCTTGTCTTCCAACACTTTCTCATGTAATTTGCATTGCTCTTTAACAGCAGCTAGTTCCGTTTGGATAGATTCAAGTATTTCCTGTTTCTCAAGAAGGTCAGCCTCCTTGGCCTTAACAATTTCATGTAATTTGCAAGCTGCTTCTTCTTTCTCTTTCATTAAAACTTTACTGCTCTCCAAATTGTTTTGAAGAATACACATCGATTCTTGAACTCTTTCAAGAATCTTATCTTTTTCAGCATTTTTATCACTAAGAGAACAACACTTTTCATGAAGAGAACCCATTTCTTCCTGAAGAACATTAATCATGTCCTGTTTATCAAAATTGCTATTGTTGAGTAAATCTACTTTATTGTTTATATCAACAAGTACTATTTCCTTCTCTTCTATTTTTTTCCTAAAAGACTCACGTTCTAAATTTAATAAATTATGTACATCATTTAATTCCTTTTGCAAAGACAAAATTATATTTTGTTTCTCATTAACCTGTTGTTCAAAAGTATATACAGTCTCAGATAATCTGGTGTTTTCTTCAGCTTTCTCATCAAGATGTTGGCTCTTGGTGGCTAATTTTTCTTTCAAAACATGCATTTCTTGCTTGTCTTCGCTAATGATTGCTTCTTTTTCAGCTATAACATTATCTTTCTCAAAAAGTAACTCTTTTTTGTGTTCCACTTCTCTCTCCAAAATTAATACCCTTTCTTTCATTGCAACTACTTGTTCTTCTTTAGATTTAACTTCATCTTTCAGAGATAAACACTCTGATTCAAATGAAGTTTTGCAAGTATCCAATTCAATTTGTCTCTCTTTGACAGTTTTTTCCAGTAACTTACATTCTACTTCAATAGCAGCCAGTTCTGATTGAAGATTTTGAATTATTTTCTGTTTCTCAGCATTCCCTGCCTCCTCATATTTTATGGACTCTTGCAGTTTACAAGCTTCTTTTCTCTCCTCTTCAAGCAATGCTTTATTATGTTCCAAATCTTTGAGAAGATTACTCTTACTTTCTTCTATTGTTTGGAGCAATGAATCTTTTGCATTATTTTCTTGGCTAAGAGAATTACATTTCTCATTAAGAGAACCCACATCATCTTGGAGAATTTTAATTGCATTCTCTTTGTCTAAATTAATGTTGTTTAAATTATCCACTTTTCTTTCAAGATCAGCAACTTTTTTTTCTTTCTCTTCTCTTTCTTTCCTGAAAGCTTCCTGTTCTAAACGAACTGCTTTCTGAAGAGTGTCCAATTCATTTTGAAAAGAAATAATTGTACTTGTTTTCTCTTGTAGCTCTTGTTCCAAAGTATATAGTGTGTCTGACATTTTGTCCAGTTCTTCAACTTTCTCTTCAAGAATTTGGTTCTTAGTAGAAAGTTGTACTCTTAATTCAAGAATTTCTTTTTTATCTTCAGCAATGATCGCTTCCTTTTCAGTTATGACACCATCTTTCTCAACAAGTAATGTTTTGTTGTTATCTATTTCTTTTTTCAAACTCGATACATTTTCTTCCACATTAGTGAGACTTTCTTCTCTAGCTCTGATTTCACCCTTCAGAGACAAACACTCCAATTCAAATGAAGTCTTGCAAGTATCCAGTTCAACTTGCCTCGCTTTACATGTTTTCTCTAGTAACTCACATTCCACTGTAATAGCAGCCAGTTCTGACTGAAGATTCTGAATTATTCTCTGTTTCTCAGCCTCCTGACATCTCATGGATTCTCTTAGTTTACAAGCTGCTTCTTTATTCTCTTCAAGCAATACCTTATTACTTTCTAACTCTTCTTGAAGATTACATTTACTTTCTTCAATTGTTTGGAGCACTGCCTCTTTTGCATCATTTTCTGTGCTAAGAGAATTGCACTTCTCTTGAAGAGAACCCACATCATTTTTGAGAATATTAATTACATCATCTTTATTTGAATTAATCTTGTTTAAATTATCCACTTTCTTCTCAAGATCAGCAACTCTGGCTTCCATTTCTTCTTTTTCATTCATGAAAGACTTCCGTTCAAATTGAGCTAATTTCTGTAGAGAATCCAGTTCATTTTGAAATGAAAAAATTGTACTTTGTTTCTCATGTAGTTCTTGTTCGAAAGTAGAGAGCGTCTCAGATAATTTGGTAATTTCTTTTACTTTCTCAGTCAGTTTTTGGCTCTGTTTAGCAATCTGTTCTTTTAATTCAAGAATTTCTTTATTATCCTCACAGATTATCATTTCTTTTTCAGCAATCACGCTATCTTTCTCAAAAAGAAATGCTTCCTTGTTCTCTATTTCTTCCTCTAAAATCAATACTCTTTCCTTCAATTCAATGAGCCTTTCTTCTTTAGCTGTGACTTCATCCTTCAAAGATGAACATTCTAATTCGAACGAAGTCTTGCACACAGATAGTTCAGTATCCCTCTCTTTCACAGCTTTCTCTAGTAACTCACATTCACCTCTAACAGCAACCAGATCTGCTTGTAGCGTGTTGATAGTTTTCTGTTTCTCAATATTTTCAACCTCCTGACATTTTATTGACTCTTGTAGTTTACGAGCCTCCTCTTCCATCTCCACAAGCAAGGCTTTACTGCTTTCCAATTCTTTTTCAAGATTACATTTACGCTCTTCTATTGTTTGGAGCATGGTGTCTTTAGAAACATTTTCATTGGTAAGACAATCACACTTCTCTTGAAGAGTACTCACTTCATCCTGGAGTAACTCAATCTTTTTTTGTTTCTCTCCATTATCCATCTTCATTTCATGTAACAAATCTGAAGCATTGGACAATTCATTTTCTGTTCTACACAATTTCTCCTCCTTAGATTTAATGTACTCTTGAAGTTTTGAAATTTCCTTTCCTGTTTCAGAAATAATTACTTCCTTTTCTTCAATTTCTTGTTTTAATGAGTGGCTCAATTGGTCATGGTTCTGTTTAATGGCAGAGAGTTCTTCCTGCAAGCTGAGAATTTCATTCCTTTTTGCAGAGATCTCTTGCTGCATTAAATTCACATTTGAAGAAAGGGATTTTATTTCTTTAGCTTGGTCATCAATTTGTAGATTTCTGTCTGCAATTTCTTTTAGAAGTGCAGTATTATTTTCCTTTTCCATTCTAATTTTTTCTTTTTCTGCTTTCAATTCTTCTCTGAGAGACAGAGACTGTACATTAAAAGCATTTTGCAAACTATCCAATTGTTCTTGCAGACTTGCAATGACATTTTGTTTTTCAGAATCTGCTGCAGTTATCAATTGAACTGTGTCAGTAAGGGATGAAATTTCCTGGGCCTTCTCACCAAGGACTTGAACATAATCTTCAACCTGCTTTTCAAGCGATGACGCATGTTCGAGTTGTTCGTGAAGCAACTTTTTTGTTTCATCAAGAATATTTGATTTTTCTTCAATTCCATTCTCCAGATCCTTAATAATTTGTTCTTTGAGTATGATATCTGATTCACTCTCTTGAAGGATATTTGCTACATTTTCTTTATGGTCAGCAAATTTTTTTTGTACATTCGACAATTCTCCTCGTAAATCATTAATTATTGTCTCTTGTTCTTTATGATCTATTTTCATTAAATCAATTTTGTTATTTAGGACCTCAATTTCCTTCAGTTTCTCGTCAATATTTACATTATATTCTTGTACTTTATCACTAAGAAGCGCAATATTATTTTCTCTCTCAGAAAGTTCAATTTCTTTCTGACTTAGAAAACTTTCCAAACTCTCAACTTTGTCCTCCAGCTCAGATATTTTTTGCAATTTTTCTTGAAGTAACACATCTACTACTGTAGATCCAAGATTCTCATCTGAAATAAAGAATGAAAGTCATGTAATAGCCGTAAATTGAGAGGATAGAACAAAATTTTTCCCAAGCCGTCAAAGCAATAACCAGACATATCATAAAAATTAACTCAAAACTTTAACAAGGGATGCTAAAACAGCACTTCCTCAACAAATTTATGGCTAATTGAAAAACAACTTTTAAGTTTATAATAATGTGAATCAGTGTTTATTTCAAAATTCTTTTGTAAATTAGTGTATCAAACTTGTCTTAATATGAATGAATAGGAATATAACCCACATATTTTCTTTTTTATGTACATTTGACATTTTCATTAGGAATCCATCACAGAATTTTCCCATTCACAAACTTCACCTCAGCCTGTGATCCCTTTTTAGGGTAGCAATAGTGGGAACAAAAGCAATCCGAAGATTTGATATTTAAAAATTTTTGAGATTATGATAAGTGTTGAAGAAACAAAACACTAGATTTTGTATTCTTTAAAATATTTTATTTGTCACATTCCCCTTTAATCCCCGTTAACATGCAACCCTGCAGGTCTGTTACATGCACTTGTGACAGACACATGCCTGAATGATAAGAAATTCAAGATCCCTAACAACATAAATAATCAACCATTGATTCGTTGCAAGTCAAATGTTTATCAAGAAAGGAGAAATGGAAAAAGCGATGTATAAAAAAACTAATCAAATTCAAACCATTTAGAATAACAGTATAATACAATAAAAAAAAGTATAGTAGGTAAAACCTCATTTCCCTGGCATTCCACCAAATGAAACTCTTTTCTGATGATATTTACCTAATATTTACTGACAATCTGAAGGTCTCATCTCTGGAAGTCGATATGCAAACTTATCACCTAGCATAATTTCTTTAGGTTCAGAATTATTTGCATCCATCTTTTCTCAAACCACTGTATACAAATATTGTGTAAATAGATAGATCTTAAGCAATCCCTCACAATATTGTAGAAACGTGCCGCAACAACAGAATTAATTTGTTTTCTATTGCAGTAATGTTGAAATTTTCACAGAAATCTTGACATTTTATGGTGACCAATAAACTGCTGAACATATCACGAAATGTTGGTGTTATTACTGCCTCGTTCAAATTAAAAATGAAAGCAAAGCCTTCATTTTTAACTTGCTGTCTCTGCAGTAATAAAACTCTTAACATTTCTAGGTATGTTATTAGCTATTAAATAAATTCAATTATTTTATTTGTAACAATAGGTTTCTAGTAATCTTTCAGGTCATATTACCCAAAAATTTCTAGTAATTCATCCAAGCTGTTACTTCTATATGACATATGGATGTGTCATGCTCTAGATATCCCATTTGTGAAAACTTGTTTGGCTGCTTGATACATAAACGGGTTAATGGAAAAATTGAATTACTTACTTGGACACAAATCTTCAATAATATCAGTGTAATCCCATTCAACACTGGTATCATTGTCAACTTTATTGGACACAACAGTCCTTGCCTTTGCTTCTGCTAGTTCTTGCTCCAATAAGAAACATTCTCTAACCTGGGCAGCTATTTTTTGTTGTGCATCCAAATAATTTGTTTCAAAAGTTTCACTTCTTAATTTCCAATCTGATAGCTGATTTTTTAGAGATGTGACCTAATAACAATCATTGGAATGTATTAAAAATAAAACAAAAAAGAAATGAGAAAATTTTGAAATTCAAGACATTTTACAATTAACACTAAAATTTTAGAGATTTCAATTTTCAACAGATAATCAACTTTGCATACTAACAGATTAATATTGTCCCCAAATAAAATCATTTCCAGGTTTGTAAGTATACCGATAATATGTGAAACTTGTTAATTTTGCCAGAAACAATTGATAATTAACAAGTTCACAGAACAAAGTAATGAGTCAATATGCTAATGGCTTTTACCAAAACATGAAAGTAATCATATTTCTAAATTATCCTCTCTGCATAGCAATTCTTTCAATATCAAGTAAATTGTAATATATTACAATAAACCAAACTAAAATATTGAACGTAATAAAGTATGACAGTCAAATCAAAATCTACCTTTTCAGACAGTTTGCAATTCTCATCTGTCAAATTTGCACATTTCTCATCTAAGCATTCAATAACCTCTCTCAGTTCAATTATTTTTAAATGCTGATCTGTACTGTATGTGTTTGTTTGTTTAACAAAATCATCTTCAATTTGAACATGTCTTTCACATAACTTTGCTTGTAACTTTTTAATATCTTCATCCTTCTTGGTTTCTAAAAAGCCAAAAATTATAATTAACAAGAGTAAAAAATTTCAGAACTGAAGAAAAAAAGAAAAACTTATCAAAACAACAACAACACACACACACAAACCACCACCAAAAAGGAAGAGTGTGAAGGGGAGGGCAGAACAGATGAATGAAGGAGTTGCAGTACTAAGAGGAGATGCAACAAGACAAGAGATGATCAAGTCCAGGACAAAGCAGAATAATGAAAGAGATGGAATGAAAAAAAACTATAAGGCCATTGCCAATGAAAACACGATAAAAAACACATACATACCACTCACAATGACCATGAACATGAATAGAAATAACCCGATATTGAAACAACAAACACTTTACACACAAATTCAGTATACAATTGAATGATCTAAAGTAAATGATAATTAGGTATTACTATTTCACGTAGTATAGAGAAAGAATTTTAATGCAGCAGAAAGAACAGCAATTTTTGATAGAAAAACTTATTGTAGGCTTTTGGAGAAGTGGATAAATCTTGTTCTAACATGTAAATTGCTACCGCTAACCAATAGTATATAGTAGGATTTAATTAAATGTGCAGTTAACATAAATCAGCTGTTCATTGAGTTATCTATTTGTGAACTTTAACATCCCCATAGCGACATATTAGCTCTTGATTGGATGAAACAGCTGATTTACATCATGCACCTGAAATAAATCGTATTATAGTTTAAAATCATGTTTCGTAGGAGTTTATTCCAAAAATAAAATTGGTTTATAGCAAAACACTTGTCAGTCTATGAAAAACGCTAGGAACTTCCCTGTCAAAATTTTCACAAAAATTATTATACCAGTTTTGTGTTATGTTTGCAAAATCCAACTTCACCAATGACAGATGCATCAATGACAACAAAATGACATAGCAGTCAGAAATTCTTAGAATTATTTTTCATTGTTGGGTGAGAAAGTCTATGCTGTTGTAGCACCACTAGTTTCATAATTATGTACCATGAGAACTACAAACAATTTTATGGAATATTTAAGGAGCAATAACAATTTATAATATTCTTAATAAGTGAAAGTGAAATTTAGAGCTTGTGAACTATCATAATGACATCTAAGAATGTTCCAAAAGTAAAGCGTTGCGTTTTTTATTCAGATGGGCACAGCAACTTAAATTTCTTCAAAGTATATCTCTTAAACGTTGACACATTTTTGCCAGGGTGATTTCCACGTCACATAGCTCCCAGGAAGTCCTCAGCTAAGGAGTCCTTTAGAACTCTTTCGTACTTGCTTCAATGTTGTCCTAAGTCTTGAAACGCGATCCTTTCACGACCCCTGGACGAGGGAACACCCGAGTCCACCGGACCAAGGTACAGGGGGTTACAGGGTGGTTGTGAGAACATTGCCACATCAATGCGGGTTAGGTAGTCTAAAACAACGAATGCGGTGTGGCCTGGTGTGCTGTCATAATAATGCTTCCAGACCCAAGTGACCCTGTCGTTCAGACTCTGGAGACCTTGTTTGTAGAACTGGGCATGTCTAGGGGGTATGAACTCCTCCTGGCAATTCAGTACCTGGCATTTTTTGCTGACTGACAGGCATTTTGCTATAAACTTTTTGTTTTTTTATTTAATTTTTTATTTTATTTTATCAAGCCCTACAAAACATGGTTTTTTATTGTAATATGATTAATTTAGTCATGTACATGATGTAAATCAGCCGTTTCATCCAATCAAGAGCATATGTCGCTTCAGTAATGTCACTATGGAGATGTTCAAGCTCCTGAATTGCTCTTGCGAGTCTTCTAGAGGCAAAGAGACAGAGGTGTGGCATTCCGTACTCAGCCGCTGTTTCCAAGTCATACTCCAAGATCCAAGTCTCAGTCCTGGTGATAAGCGACCAAAAATCTAGGATGAAACATCTCGAAAGTTTCCACCTGCGTCTTTCTCATATCCACGGAAAACTTGATCATGTACCTTTTATTCAAAGATTTCTCTATCACAAGTGTGATGTGGCTACTACTCAGGAGCCCATAAACTAACATGAACTAATTTCACCAGGGTATGGGGACAACTGAGCTAGAAGCCATTGGAAAGCTAAACCTCCTCTTATCCTATCCAAACTAGTCCAACTGCTCTGCGACATACTTGCATATTTAAAAAAATAGTAACATTATTTTTTGGACATACCTTGTACATCATTGTAATGATGGTCATTGAATAACATGCAGCCCGTAAGTATATTATGTTTATATTTCATTGTGAATAAATCTTCTTGATTGAAAACAAGTAAAAGAACATCTTACCCATTCTATCTTTCTCCTTTTTCATTTCTTCAAATTTTTCTTCAAAAAACAGACGGGCATCTCTCTCTGTTTGAAGCTCAACTTCTAATTTTTTTATCTCTGAATACCTCCTCTGCTCTTTAGCTGCTGGTGACTAAAAAAGGGAAATAATAATAAAAAATTAATAATATTCATAAAAAAACATCAACTTTTACATTTTAAAACACAAATTTATGTATAAATTTAACGATGATATCATAATACAATATGAACTTTAACAGAAGCAACAGAAAACAGACATAGCACATCATGAATCATGAAAATAATTCTAATGTATAAGCAAACACTGTTGAGAATTTAAATACTTAATTTTTGAAAATAAAGAAACTTGCATTCTTAATGCATAGGAACAATTATTTTTCAATGTAGCCAAATAATACATTTTTTAAAATTTATTTTACCTGATCAGTGGAATTACTGCTTTGCAGGTGAGTATTAGCTTTAATTAAAATAAATAATAGCTCGAAGCTACAAGTAATTGTAAATTAGCGCACTATCATACCCCTATTTCGCATTCCCCTCTATGATGTAATACTACTTACATTCAAAAAATCTTGTAGAGGTGTTTTTGATTTACCTCTTCGAGAATGTTTTGGAGTGGATTGGTACACTTCAACTGGAGATTTAGCAGTGGCAGTTTCTTGAAAAAATTATATTAATTAAAATAACAGAATACATAATACTATAAACAAAATACAACTCTTAAAAATTAATGATCAGACACTCACACATTTTCTTCACATTTGAGAAACAAGAACACACTTTTCTACAAAAATACAATTTTTTTCGAATTCAACATTTTCATTACTTTCTTTATAGACTGTTATAATTTAAATTGCAAAATTTAATCCCTAAAATGGTTGTTTTTTAAAACTTGCTATATTCATTATTAGTCATTTTCTTCATTTGCTACCATAAAAACAAACAAACAAACAAAATACGTACCACAACATGATTTTATTGCCATTACGATAGCATCTTTGGTAACATCTTTGTTCATAAGACATTCCAAAAAATTCTTGATTTGTACCTGGGAGGCATTGCTGAGGGAGCACATCTTACTTCGTATAATAGAATCATCAGTAAAACTGTAAAAATGTACTAACACAGAGTACAAAATTAAAACATCTTCGTTTTGAAAATTTGAAGGTGTTTGTGTCCAGAAATCTGGGTAATACCCTATTGAAAACAAAACAGAGCATTACTATACAGAAACAGTTGTTAAAAAGCAACAATGTCACTATTCCAGTACATTTTACAAAAAAAAATACAAACAACCTACAGTTCTACATAATGTTGGAGCAATTGCATGAAATACAGAAGTCAGTAATTAACAAATCTAAATAAATAAAAATGTAAAAAGTAGTATTAACAGATTTATTATTTTGCATAAAGGTATTTTTAAAAGCAACAGAATACTTAATAGTATTCGTAATAACTAAATAATAACTATTACTTACTCTGAATAAATTTTAATAATTTTTGAAATGGATCTTCTGGATCATCTTTTGTATATGACGGCCTATAAATAAGAAACATATATTCAAACGCATCCAAGCAAATAAGAAACCAGTGGTGTTACAACAGCACATACTTCAGTGTATAAGTGATAACATATACATACTTTAAAACACTACGTTGCTTTTGAGAAAATGGTTTACTTTTTAATGATAGGTTTTCAATCAAAATTGCACAGAATTTTAAAATATTATTTTCAAGAATTAATTTCATTAAGAAGAAAATCTTTGATGATGTAGTTCTACACCTATTTAGCATTTTTTTTTAATTTAGAGTTTTCAATGAAAATTGATCCCATGGCTGTTCTCTAGGCGTGCTTTGCTCTTTGTGGCAATAAATCATGAAGAAAAAAAAAAAGAAGGAATATTCTCAAATATTCTAATGCTTTGAAGAGGGAGCTGTTGTCACAATTTAAATTTACTATGAATATTGAAGATCTCTATTGGAAAAACTCTCAAAATAAAAATGATCAATGCATAGCAACTTCTTTCACGTATCTCAAATAGTTTAAATTTCACCAAAATTGTGTATAAACTATAATTTGTAAATTTAAACATTTGATGAGAAACAGAATTTTACAAGATGAATAGTATGTTAATGTTATGAGAACAATGACAAAATCACAAGCACAAGTCCTATAAACCACTGTTCAAAAAATTACAAATCCACTCCCCCGCATGTATATATTTGAAATTGTAATCTTTACAGTGAAGTGCCTCATGAGAAACACTGATTCTTTTACTCTAAATGTATTAGTCGATAACTATGATACCAGACAAAAAAATCTGCTTGTCCCACAGTGAAACTTCACTCTCTCAAAAACCTACCCTTACACAAGGCTTTACATTATATAACTCCCTCAGAAATTGAAAATAAACTAACATTTCCTGTTAAACCACAACATTCTACAGTACAAAAGAATATATATACATCCAGGCCAATACAAACTCCAAATAACTTCCCAGGCTTCAAGCTAATTTTAAAACAAATACCTCCTCTCTCTTTTTTTTGTTTTACTCTTCTTACACTTATAAAAGTAATATGCATTGTATTATAGTCTTTTCCACTGAAAATTACATTAGAATTTTTGGCAAGGTATGTAATACCAAATTAGTAATTTTGTTTTGTATTTAGATTTTGGAAATATCTAAACTATATATTGTATCATTATGCACATAATTCGGTTTGTCATACATGGTTTGTACTGTATTTTTGTGTCATTATTATAATACCACATTGTTTTCTACATCAAGTATAACCAACAAAATATTTTATTCATATCAAATGGTTCAGTAACATACGTACAGGAAACAACCAAGTAATTTCCCATCAAACAAGTCTTCTAACTTCTCAATGTGTTCCGAACAAACGCCACATACGTTAACCTGAAAAATAAAAAAACAAAAACAATTAAGTTTCCTTCCATTGCAACTATCTGACAGCTTCATATTTAGAGAAGTTTTGATAAATGTAGCCAATTTGGATTGAACAAATAGTTTGTCAAAAACAAGTAAATAATTTAGCAAGAAGAAAATGGTAATAAGTTTACAGAATCTATTGAGATTTTATAACAAAACAAATTAAGTAGTATATTTATAAAACAATGATGATCAATGATATTGACCTTACAGAATATAATGCAATGTTAAGTATCCTAAATTCGTTCCTTAATACTAAAACCCAGGAAGGGATGGAGTATACAATGAACTTCTAAAATATGCTCCCAAGGCAATTAAAAAATGTTTTCTGGATATATTGCATTTGTGCTGGACAATTACAGCATCACATGACAGTGGAAAGAATAAAAAATCATTCTAATAATAATAATAATAATAATTTTTAAAAAATTAAAAAGTTCCACTAAGAAGAAAGCAATCAGGCTTCAGAAAAGTAAGGTTTTGCTCAGACTGTATTTATATCCTGCAATAAACAATCCATAAAAGAAGAAATCAATATCTCATCATTCATCCTCTTCGTGTATTGTGAAACAGCATTTGATTGCGATTAAAGAGAAAAGCTATGGGATAAAATGTATATCAAAGGTTATTCCAGCAATCTTATTAAAGCCATAACCATCTTTATAAAACACAAAAATACAAATAAATGACAACTAACAGCAATACATCTTTTGACAATGAAGGCTGTCTGTTATCACTGAGATTGGTTAATATTTATATCATTTAATGTAGATTCCGCTAAAAAAGAATGGAATAAATTTATGGTAATATGCCCTTCAAAACTATGCTAATTGCAGATTATCAATACTTATATCAGAATCTCAAACTGATTTACAAATAGCAGCTTAAAAATTACAAAAAGTAACTGAGTAATATCATAAGATTTAGATTTGGTAAGCTACCAAATCTAAACCATATCTTTCGTAGGCCCAGTACAAACTAGGTGCAAAATAGTTATAAATAATGAAAATTTAGGACAAGTCTGCACCTTTCATTACTTAGGCTGCAGTGTGTCATATTTAACAGAAGCAATCTTGATGTCAAACTAAGTAGATTCCAGAGAATGTATAAAATAGGACAAAAGTCAAAAATAAAAAATGGACCTGAAGACACTTAAAATTTTATAAAATGCTTGCTGTCCCAATACTAACAATGTGAAAATTTAAAGTAAAATAATCAAAAAGAAAAATTCACACTAAATGAAGTTCCCATGAAGCGTTGCTAACTATACTTTATTAAATCATAAGAAAAATTTAGATAAACTAAATATTTTTAACCTCTTAGAAAAGGTCGAAAAACAGAAACTTAATTGGTAGCCCCATACTGTAATGAACGTCAGATTACCTAAACAAATAAATTATGTACCGGCTGGCACAAGAGTTGGAAGACCAGACTCAGTGGACTGATGATATTAAGGTTGAAAAGGACGGAACAGGCCTTCAGGTCTAATCCTTTATGTTGACGAATGAGATTTATAAAATAAATGTTGACCTTACCCATGACAAAATCACTTTTTCCCACGACGTCATCTTTATTCGGGAAACTACTTCTGACGAATGTAACTAATCACTAGAAAACACATTGAGAACAAGTTTGATGTTTCTCAGGTTTAGACAGGATTTAGACAGGTCTGATGGTGAATCGCCGGTGCAACGCATTTGAATCAACGACCAGAATTTGAATCTCTGTCAATATAGCCAACATTATAGACTTGAAATCTGCATCAATCATCACCGTTGACCAACTTCACAAACAAAAAAAGCCGTAGGTTGAATTTCAAATTCCCGGAGCGCGGTAAAATTTTCATGACTCAACTATACTAATACTATAATATTAAATTAACTACAACTATACACACATACTATAACATCATACTCTAGTAGAGTACTAAATACATTTCTAGAGCCATACTATTCGTACTATACTATTAATACTATTCATTATAAGTTGGTTTTAAGTTAATAAAGCAGTGCTTGATTTCTGTCGGAGCTTGCCGGAACGGCGTTCTGGTACCTCGGAAGCAATTATTAAAATAGAAATAGGTATAGAAATGGTTATAAATATATAACTATTTCTATTAAATTGATAATTAATTTGAGGCGCGTTTCGCGACCTAAATTTTTATAAATTAAGCACTGGCAAAGCCTTCTTTAATATTTAACGAAGTCTTTGGCACTGGTTATAAGTATAGCTCGTAAGATTAGTAAGAACTAGTAAGATTATTAGTGCCTACACTTGGGTTTTTATTTCTTGACACGTGAGGCCTTGTCTTCATGATGGAATATCTCATGATATTTCGCATCTTTCTCGGTCGTGCCGCTAGATGTCGCGTGATAGCCAGCACTGTCCATACTGTTGCGATCATGCGACATCTAGCGGCACGACTGAGAAAGACGCGATATACCATAGAGTAGATACCGTGAAATATTCCATCGTTAGGACAAGGCCTTGGACGCCAAGAAGTAAAACCCTAAGTATAGGCACTAAAAATCTTACTAGTTTGAGAATGTCTGTGCCAGCCGTACCACTATACTTCAATTGTCAAGACAAGAGATACATGTCAGACATTCATACAGATCACTAGGGGGCAGGTTTTAATAATATGTCATTTTTTTTCTTTTCACGTTAGAACAATGCCATTTTCTACAGAAATTCATTTTATGTTTTGATGAAAAGAAATTACCCATTCTTGTCTTTTTTGTTGCATTTTTCGTCGATTTTGACCAAGTCATTTTTTACATTTTGGCGACATTTTTACTGCATTTTTCGCTGATTTAATCGATTTTAATATAATTTTAATGATAATTGCTTCAAACAATATTTACGACGTGCAACAAGTGTTCATCACAGAATTCTCAAGTAGTCTATTCGATTTCTTCGCTCATACTGTCAGTAGTTGTGAGTACCACATCTAAAGTTCCTGTGACGTTTATCGGCGCCATTGACAGTTCGGCCGATTTCGTGGTGAATAAAGGCAGAGATTTTCTTTTAAAGAACAGTCCAACCCCAAAGTATGCAAGCTGAGTTAACTTGAACTAAAGGAAGAAGCCTTGATTACATCGGTGTCATATTCAACATCTTGAGTTATTCACCTGAAGTGGTTTTGATCAAATTTTTTAAAAATTTTCCTTTTTTTGGGGGGGGGGGCATTTTTAAAGCGTTTTAAGGGCCTTTTTTTATCATTTTCGGCAATGATTTAGGTCATCACAATCCGCCCCGCAATGAACACACAAAATCTTCCCTTGCCGTAATGTTATGTGATCTTTTAGTTTGGTATTCGTATACACTAGGCTCTAAACATTGGTAACTTTCTCAGAATTGGTTTCAGGTTCAGTTGAACCGCAAGCGTTTTTTTAAAAAACAGATTAAACAGAATTTGGTATAAAATGGCTCAAACGTTTCTCGAATTTTTAACTTATCATAGGTACATATAAAAGGAGTAATATGTGTAGTATAAAGAAAGTTGTGTAATGCTGCGGAAAATCGATTTCAACGGAAAAATGCATGTATTGGGGTCCTCTGTTACCGAAAAAGTGTTTTTTAATTATTTTTTTTTAATTTCTCAAAATCTCTGACTGTCCATCCGTGTGTAAACAAATTTAGGACATAAATTATTTGTAATTTTTGTTTTTTTCTAAAATTATATTATTTGGTTGATTTGACTAGACAATTTCTCTGCAGCTCTCATGAGCTCTGCAATTTTGAAAAGCATTCTGTGAATTTTGGGGGTCTTACTAAGAAGCTCCTGGGTAATTTTAAAAAAATTCTCATAGCTTCAATTTGTTTTTGTCAATTTCTTGTAAGAATAGTGAGAATTACGCTTAGTTTTTTCATTATTGTTATGCACTTTTTTTAAAATTATAAGTTTTAGGACAATTTTGAGTGAAATATAGGCAAGAAAACCAAAAATAAGGATTTCACAAAAATGACTCAAAATTTTTTGTTTACACTTTTGGTAGGGATAGTGCTAGATGTTTGGTACAATATTTTGCATCTCAAGGTACTCCCATTTCCTCTGCATTCCACCAAATTGCTCCATCACCATTTCCAACCCTATTCTGTGGGGAAAAACAGAGTTTTATTTAGTTTTAGTACACCATTTTGATGTATTCTTTTGATTTTTCAAAAATTACACAAATGTAATTTTTTAGATACCTCTCTCACATTGTTAATACTAATATTATCAGTGATTTGTATATGCAATTGAATGTATGAGTACATGTGCTTACATTTTATGAGGTTTCTTGAAATCTCAAAACTTTTCTGTAAAATGAGCAAGAATTTTCACATTTCAGACATGCTAAGTGCCATTTCTTCAAAATGGCTCAAAATTTTTTATTATCTTTTTTCTTTTTTGAACTGATAGTGCTAAATAAATTAAACAACATGATATCAATGCCACTCTGATGTATTCTATTGTTTCTTCAAAATTTTCACAAATGTACTTGTTTTGAAATATTTATCACACCATTAATATTTATATTACCAATGATTTGTATATTTTATTGCATTTGTTAGAAAAAGTGCTGCAAATGATTTCCAATGAACTTTCTCCAAAACTCAAAAGTTTTCTTGGAAAAAGAGAGTTTCAAATTTTGCAGTTATAGATGCTCATAAACGACAGTGCCTCAAAACAGCTTCAAATATTTCAATGAAATTTCCACTAAGGACAAGGTTTTACTCTTCTATAATATGCTTAAAGTCATATCATGTTTCTACCATTAGGGTCCTGAAAAACTGAGCAAATGTGAAAAAATTTACTTTGTGCGGAGGTAGATGGCAGTTAGGAACAGGGCTGAGGAGGTAACACAGATCAAAGAAATCAGAAAACTAACTAGTATGAGAAAGTCTGTTTCATTCTTTACCACCATGAGTTTTCAATGCAAAGATTTTCTGCACTTCTACAATATTACAAGAGATTTATTTGATATATGTCACTATGGTGCCCATTGACAAAGAACCATGAAAAAATGTCGGTCTTTGTCCTCTTTGTTTTCCATCACAAAGTATCATGCACTTTAATGCTTGGATCTAAATTTGTTTAGGAATTGATATGTACCTAATTGTGTCCTCCATTTGTTCTTCAAAATTGTGAATTTTGAGGAATATATTTATTGAGTGCAGACAGTACTACTTAAAGTTTGAGAAGCCTTAGCATTTTCCCCTCAGAAATTTGATGAATAATTGGTTGGGTTTGGAAACTGAAATTTATTTCTCTGAAGTGTCATAAGGCATGACAGGAAATTAATATTAGGTGCTGTGAAATGAATATTGTGCATGACGCTATTTGATGAAGGAAGATTGTTGAGAGTAATATTAATAGAAAGGATTTCATTAGAAGTATTGTAATTTTGTAACTAATAACAGGCTTTGTATTTTTCTGATAAAGTGACTGTGAAGTTGATCAAGATAATTCTGATATTTTCAAACTTAGTAAAATCTACAATCAAGAAATGAATCTCTATTCAGAAACTAATAAACACAGGAAACATTGATATTCCATCAAAAATTCACCAGCTTAAGTGGCTCAGGGCATTGATTGATGTCACTGTTGCACTTCTCACTGAGAGGTTCTAGGGTTCATGTCCCAACGATGTTCCCTACACGAGGTCAAATTTAAGAATTAAGGCTAAAAGATTGTTCATTATTATCCATACGTTACAATATATACACAGTATAATAAATAACTATTCTCTCCTTATACTATAAAATATCAAAATAGCAAATGTATTTATAAGTTATGATAACCATGATATAACATCATGAACTGATAAAGGAGGTGAGATAGCTACTTAATAAGTACTTAGTAGGCGAGAAAGTTGAAGAATACATTCTCATTACATGTTCATTTCCATTAGATGGGGAGATACACATTGTAATGAAAGCAAATGAGACACTCCATGACATTTGTAGAAGCCTCTTAGAATTTCGTTTAGAATCATAAATTATTCAAAATCTCTTATGGTTGAGAGCATCAAGTGGCACTGTTCATAACTAATTCCATAATTTCTTACTTTCATTACTTTTGTTTGAGAAATATCTGATTTGTTTCTTCTCACAATTACTTTAATTTTTTTTATAAGGTAAAATATACATTTGATCCTAATTTTTATTATATGTTTTCTCAAGTTTTGTTTCTTTTCTAAAGGATCCACTTCAATTACTTTAAGTGATAATAAATCCAAATACATTTATAATAATAATAATAATAATAATAATAATAATAATAATAATAATAATAATAATAATAATA